CCATGGCACTTTCCAAAACACGTGTGTCGAATGCCCGGGGATCGCCCCGGGGTACGCAAATGCCCAGCCCCCGGGCCGCGATAAAATTACGGATGCCCCACCCCCGGGAATGACAACGTGAGCAAATGCCCCGCGGTTGACCGGGGGGGGGGATGGACACTGCTGGAATTGACTGATGCATTATATCACGAAGGTTAACCCTTCAACAAACAATTTAAGACATCATTACAATACTTCATTTCATGGGTGAACTGGTCCATGTGGAAAGGAATATTTTTATTGGTTGCTTGAGCAATACGAATTGCGTAACACTAGTCGACTGAGATGGACCACCTAGGAATTACTCTCGCTGATTTGTTTTTACGAAACTGTTTTCTATTAAGTAAAAGCTTTTTTAATTAGCTACGCCTGGCTCATAATTTTGATTTAATTTCTGGAAGAGAGGTTCAAAAAATGCGTGAATGTGCCTAACAGTGTCGTGTGAATTTGCAGAGAATGGTTGTCTTGTTAGATCATTTGCAAACTGGTACATTATTGAGAAGGAGCATTCTGATTGGTTCACTGAACGGGGGGAAATTTGCATTATGGACCGCTTGGATGAACCGCTGACAAATTAGTTTCACCGCGCATTTTAAAAAAATGGATGCATTAATTCCTCAACAAATTTTTGAAAAAGCCATTATAATGAAAACTTTTAAATGAACCAGGTTGTCGATATTTGGAATTATCATGAATAACTTTATTTTTCGTAAGTTAATGAGCCTGGCCTATGGCTCGGTCCCAGAAAAGAAAAAAAAAAGAAAAAGAAAAAGAAAAACAAACAAACAAACAAACAAACAAAAACAAAACTCACTCAACACATCAGTATCAATACTATCATCAGTAGTATGTTGTATTAATTTTCAGTCATCGAGTCTTTTTGCAATGCTAACAGAATTTTGCTTGCTCTCGTCTCTTAGAGACGGGATTTGGAAAAAAAACCGTTATTGGACCTTCATGTAACCATGTCGTGTAATGCCTTCATGTAATTCCACTCGCGCAACCTTTCTCTGTTGTGCGTGAAATGTAAGCTCTTTCCCCTGCCCGTTCAACCGAATCCGGTATGTATAAGTTAAACGCACATCATCCGCAATCAATTTTAATTTACATTTATTATTTTTTTGTCTACAGGTTGTTCAGAGTCTTGTGAGTAATCAATGCCGTTGTCATGGAGTTTCTGGCTCCTGCACCATCAAGACCTGCTGGAAAACCGTGCCAAACTTCGCCAAAATTGGAGATCACTTGAAAGTTAAGTACAAAAAGGCCGTGCAGGTGGTGTACAACAGAAAAAAGCGACGAATACGACGCAAGGAGCAAAAACGCGTCAAGATAACAAAAGACACACTGGTGTTTATCGACCGACCACCAAACTACTGCAATCGGAATCCGGCGCTGGGAATTTTAGGCACGTCTGGAAGAGTGTGCAACAAGACCTCCCCTGGAAGTGACCGGTGCGATCTGTTGTGCTGCGGGGCTGGATACAATACTCAGGTGGTGCGAGAGGTGAAAAGGTGCCAGTGCAAGTTTGTATGGTGCTGTTACGTGACTTGTAAAGAGTGTCCACGAATTTATGACCGACACACGTGCAAGTGATGGCCTGTTTTCTCTTATCTGGTGGCCATTTTCTCAATAGTGGGACGATTTTATTGCGGCACAAGTTATTTATTGAAGAGAAAGGAACATAAAATGATATGAAGTGACAGTGGGGCCGAGAGTCAATTTGTTTAAGCCAGTCTTGGACCTTGCTTAGTTTTGGAGAAAAACAAATTGAAGCGCGTTTTGGATGTGAATCGACTTCAGCAAAGTAGTGATTGCTGCCAAAGAAGAGCTCTGAATTGAAATACTTTGACAATAGCAAGTTAAAACTATCAAGAGAACGAGATAAATTATAATTTAGACTTTGTAGAACTTTTTAGTCAACATGGCAAGTAGAGATGTAATGGATGGATATATACTGAGCAAACTTTTACCCAACCCGTAAAATACTGTTGTTTTTTTTGAAGCTCGGTGTCGGTATTTCCATTAAAAGAGACAAAAAAAAAAAAAAACCCTTGATGGCTTCAGCTAAGTCTAATAAAATTTCAAGGTTAAATAATTTGCATTGAAAAGGCCTACGACAAACAAACAAATATACAAACAAACAAAAAACAAACGACCAAGCAAACAAACAAAGAACAGTATGGAAGGTCGGTAAAAGAGCTCTCGGAAGCAAATTCCATAGAATGTTTGTATATTTATGTTCCACATTAAAACTGTGCGAGCAATTTTCAGGTTCTTAAACGTAATATTAATAGGTACGTGACTAACTTTCACGTGCGGTGTATCTTATTTATTTCCAGTTTTATGAGCAAAGTACTATGAACTATGAATGTGATAATTGTATAATAGTGTAGAAAATCCGTATGATAAAGACACTGTAATGATACTCTAGTAGGGCGCTTCACTTGGTACTTTCCTATGAATTCTGCTCGTTTGAAGTTAACATCGGTTAATTCTTTGTAAGACTGCAAAAAGTTCATCCGGTGAAGACCTTTGGACATCTTTTAACTATTTTAGGCCTTGGGCGATAGGTCTTAGTTGTGGCAACATTTTCTTTTTCCAAGTAGTCGAGCTTTAGCAGTTTGCGCACTTTGAGATTACTTCTAAGCGAAATGAACAACGAGGAAGACCCTTGCACCAAGGCCATCGGAAACCGCAGACAACACCCGAGGCCCAAGTTCAGAACAGTAGTTCTCCTTACTGGCTGTTATGCACTTATGTTAATATTAGTTGTGATAACATGTTGATAGATCAAGGTAATTTCTAGTAAGTGGGTCGATTGATATCGGCACATGATCGCCCTGTTTTGATTTTAATTACTCTAGGAAAGCTTAAAGTATTCCTTTGAGCTTTCATTTATTATTGGTATTAGTTGTAAATCTGCCAGTTCCTTCTGAAAATCTTGAGCTGTTAAATTTGTGTAAATCAAGTGTAAACTATCGTGTGTAGTAAAACGAATCAGATTCGAGAATACTTTGTCATTGATGGAATAAACAAACATTGAACGAGGTTTCTGTTGTATGCAGAACAACCAAACGCTAGCGTGTGGGTCAGGAAGCAATGATCAATGAGGACGGGTTGCTAGTCTATGGCAGGTTCCCTCCCCGAGACATTTTTTCAGGTCACTAATACCATTTTCCCAGGATAGAGGGCGGCAATTTGAGAGTAGAATGTGTTGCACAAGAAAGCAACACAATGATCCCGGCCAGCGCTCAAAAACGGAGCGCTCGGTCTGGAGTCCACCTTGTTAGCAATTAATGGACATTAAAGATGATTTCCAGTGCGTACTGCGGACTCTCGAGAGTTTGTTTGCGTTTTTTGTTTTGTTTCATATAAGACATCACAAAATGTAAACTTTTCTCAACTACCTACATGAAGTAAATTCAAAGTTTCAAAACAACCGCCATTATGGATGCGAAACGGTCGAAGCCTTGTGCTTCGCTCTTTCTTATATCACTTGATGAAAAAACTTCGCAGCTGTAAAAATCAATGAAGCTGTTGGAAAGAGAATTTGAAAGGCCTCAAAGATAAGGTATGTGGTTCGTAACGAATAACATCGATTCGCATTCCATCGAGTGAGATTAATAATGTTTATAAACATTAGGGTGCTGAGACTGCGCAGTACGGACTGGAAATCATCATTAATATACTTTTTGCTTAGTATACGTACTTCAGTAAGCTAAAAGACCCTCAAGTTCAGGGCCTGCGGCAGGAACAGCATCATCTTTGGACAATGCACTATAGTCATTATAATCTAGCAAAAAGACTACAAATCCTTCGGTCGTGTAAGGAGGAAGAGGAAGTTTTAATCATAGTTGGGAGTAAGTAAGATTTCCAGAGGTGAATATACGAATCTTGTGTTCTGAATGGTCGAGAAACTCGGATATCATCATAGTATCTTCAAGGCGCGATTCCTTAGTTAAACCGCATTTGGTATGGTGGGAAGTAAACATGGCGGTTGTTGTTGTTGTTTTTAATGAAATGCCCGATTATTCCGAAGACATCACTTCAAGTCTGGCGCCTTCGAAGCCTGGGGAATCTAGAAAAAGGGGTTACAAAATGTTAAACCAAAATGTTTTCGAAAAGTGTCTTCAAAGGCAGTTGTAAAACTCGTAAACAATGGTTTCGTTTATCCAGACTATTGTTTGTACTGTGATGAATTGTGCCAGATCATGTGTTTACATCTCTTAGGAACGGAGCTTTGAAATCAAGAAGATAATTGCAATGGCTCATGAAGTCACCAAACATGAAAAAAGGTGTATTTGTTCGCAATGAGTGTTTCATTTGTGCATTTTGTATCTTAAGAATGCGTTATAAACTCATTTACATGATGGCGTCGTTTGACTACAGTTTAATACCAGAATCAGGAGCCATAATTATGGCTCCTGACCAGAATCCTTCACTTTTTCTTCCTCCCTTTTGCTAATTAGAAAAATTGTTATCTCAAGCCTAATGAAGTTTAAAATTCAAATAAACGAATAAATGAATTCCTTTAGTTGAAGTCAGATGACGACGTTGTGCAAGTGTGCTAATATATCATTTTACAGTTGTCTGCCCATTGACCTGGCCTTTGAATGGAAGCGAGGCTGCAGGTGGCCTTGTTTTGATAAAGACCTCACTGCAGGTGGCCTTGTTTTGATAAAGACCTCACTGCTTTTGTTGTGTAAATCAAGTTGTTCTTATGCTAACTGGATGGCATTTCAATGAGATAAACCGAGAGGTCTGTATCAAAGTAAGGTCACCTCCAGCCTCGTTTGGATTCATAGGCCAGGTAACTAAGCACACAACTTTAAAATGGCCTTTTTACGATAACTGTAGAAATTCTCGCGTGCTCATTGGCTAATTCTTATTGTCAATAAGCGGATAGACACATGAATTTATAATTTATGCGATGCGTCCGCGAGCGAGAGCGGACAATTTGACAATTTGTTATCGTGAAAAACAAATTAACGTCATTTTTTCATGCGTCTGTCTTGTTATTGACAATGAATTTCGTCATAACATTGTCAAAGTAGTCTGCGGATGACGAAATTCATGATCAACAACTGAACAGACCATTGGCGGATCCAGACCTTGAGCTAAGGTGGCGGGCGGTTTGTTTTGTTTGCCCTGCCG